CAGATTCTTGCATACTGATTTTAAAAGGTTTTACCTTGCACAATCATGCAAGTGAATATTCAACTGCAGCCAATAACATCAAAAATGACTTCGAATCATTTTATGCAAATTAAACTGGACTAAGAACATTCTACTGACAACAACTATTCGCTTGACTCTGTTGATGACTTCCACACAGATTGTCAAAACATCAGTCACCACCACTGACAACAGTCCTTCTCAGGACTACACTCACCCGGACGATCACATGACACTTTCACAGACAGAGAAAAATTTGTCACTTCTAGATGATACTGAAGGAATATCATTGTCATAGCCATTGCCATGGTTGATATGTTCAAAAAAGCTTAATTTAACAAATTGTTCATGTATACTCATTGACTGATTGGTATCTCTCAGGTCCAGAAACCCAAACTTTGACAAGTATCAGGTGCAATCAAGAAACAGAAATCAGAGTATGCTAATTTAAAATCATAAAAACCCTTGTTTAAAAATAGCAGGCAGTCAACTTCAATAAAGCAACAAACAGAATACTTACCTTGCGTCTTGGTGTAATTCAGGGTATAATGTTGATCGTGTCGGTGTTCCGTCCCATTTTTGTCGTGAGTAGTCACGAGAACAATAAGTTCGTGTAAAACAACAGATTTTCCTCCTAGTGCCGTGTTTGTGAGGCTGAGGTTGAACACTGAGTAAACTCGCACCTGCCTGGTTGAAGTAACGTTTACTTGATTTGTGAAGGTGATATCAGCATCCTCCAAATTAAAATCCCGAACCATTTTCGGGTTCACTCTAGCCTTAGACTCTCCAGCAGAATTGGGAAGAAAAGAAAGGAGGCTGCCGCCACTTTTTTTTCCATTGACTTGTGTAAAGATGTAAACCTGTACTTCGTCCACCGAAACGATGGCACTTGAGAATAACATAACGTTCTCTACTGTTAAGTCATGCTGAAATTTGGTTACTTGGATGGTTTTAGGTGGCAAAGTATAACTGCCATCATCGTTCTTTGCACCTTGCCCTACGATCAGAAAGCACAGACATCTCGTTTAATATACTATAATGTATGAGATCAAGCCCTCTAGGATATCAGTACGAAAGGTACTGACTCCTAATACAGGCGCACAAGTAAAAACCAAAGATCCCTCACCCTCACATTGCGAAGTTAGAAGCAAGAAATAGATCACAAATATTTCAGTAGGATTGAAGTTTACTCAGCGAGGTCACACAAATCGCATCTGTTTTTCCCGCTCTGATCTATTTGCAAGGCTGCGATGCAGAGAAATACCTAGACGCTTCAAAGGACACAGATCTATCGAAACAGTCCTCCGAGAAGTGTTCGGAGTAGATCACAAATATTTCTGTAGGATTGAAGTTTACTCAGCGAGGTCACACAAATCGCATCTGTTTTTCCCGCTCTGATCTATTTGCAAGGCTGCGATGCAGAGAAATACCTACAGCATGCTCTGCATGATTACTTCAGCTTTGAATTACGCATCGATGCCCTGTCATTTTTGTTTAGTTTTTGTAAGAATAGAGTAACGTACTCTGTTATGTTTGCTTGACATTTTGCCATGTGAGATTTTCGCGTTGAGCCTTTGACGTCACTTCCTCTGAGTCCTGAGATCAACTTCCGGAACATGATCAAATAATGGCGGATGCGAAATCGTGAATTTAACAGCCCAAAAAAAGATATTTCTGGTGCTCGGTCTAAACTGAAAGTTGGCAGAGTAGTTCAAGGAGACACACTGAACACGAAAATGAAAAAAAAAATGATGTACGAAAATTTTGATCTCAGGGGCACTTTAAGGTTGGAGTAAATACAATTGAAGAGCGAGGCTACACTGAAAGCAAAAGTGCATTTACCGCCGTTTGAGCGGGGATAAGGAAGTTGAAGGTCAAGGTTACAAGCTCTAGTAATAGCACCAGTTCTTTGTCTAGAAGACAAGAAATGGAAAGATTGTTTGAGACAGCTTGGTGCTTCAGGATTATTAAGAATATTAAAGAGGAGGACAAGCTTTCTAAGGTTAACTAAGAAAAAAATGGGGAGCCATTTGAGTTTGGCAAAGAGACTGAATGAGGACTGGTGCCAGTCGGTGTCAAGGATAAGGCGAGCTGATTGTTTTTGAAGACAAAGTAGACGGAGAAGAAGAGTTTTAGAGCAAGTACCCCAAACAGTGGAACAGTGCAACATAGAAGAGTGGATACAAGAGTTATAGTAATTCAAAGAGCAGTTATGAGCAAGAAATGGTTTGATACATTTCAGAAGCAAAAGTCTGCTCCTAATATGGTACTCTTTCCTAAATTTAATTCAATTCTCCTCAGTTCATTCATTAAATGACATGTTAATGATGATACTTTCTTACACCAAATATCATGCTGGATGAATCTTAAAATTAAGATAACGTTAATGACATAGTAGTATGTTCTTAAGTTAGCACCACATAAGGCGATTTACTTATTAAAATTTGATATTAACGAGCTGTATTCTCCTGGGAGTTTATGAGAATGATTTCATGTTAACCTTTGGAATTATCAGCTAATATTCTAAAATTGACCCGCAAGTTAACTTTTACTTTTGGATTTTAAATGGTCAACATTCCAGTTTCTTTTTCTCCACATTGTCGTGCACAAATTTTTCCTTTGAAAATCATCATCATCATCATCATCATAGTTTATTTAATAAAGCAAATATTCAGGTTTCTGGAATATCTACAGCTGATAACATTTATAGCTCGTAGTTTGAAAGCATGTTGTACATTGACATTTATGATCTAGAAATCATGTGAATTCCAGCAAGTGAGCGATCATGACGTGTCACAAGAAAAATCTCGAACCTTTTTGGCTTGTTCCCGCAACTCTGCTTTCCTTTCTTCCTCTGCTTCTAAATCAGGGGACAAAGAGATCTCTGTAACTTCGTCAATTTTATCATTTTCAGCTTCTATTCCTCTGTCAACAGTAAACCCAGACAGATCCATTCCATTGTCCAACTCAGCCGCCATCCTGCCACAGTATTTACATCCCACAATACCTTGCACTGAAAAGCAAAGCCAAAAATATATATATATTTCCCATAAGTCCTTGTATAGAAAAGCTCTTGAAATTCCCGTATGTACGTGTGACGAAAGGAAGACGAACCAAGATGGCCCTTCAGAACCAGAGGAAAGCAAATGTGAGTTGAAGTCTATATCCTGGCTTGCTATCATTTTAATTTGGAAAATATTTTCTCTTAGGGCTTCTTCTGATGAAACCTTTTGTTGTAAATTGGTTTATCAACTCGGTTGAAACTGTAAATTGGCTACCGAAAAGAGTATAAAAGCTGACGTTTCGAGCGTTAGCCCTTCGTCATTTGCTTTGACGAAAGGCTAACGCAGACGGCTTTTATACTCTTTACGGTGGCCAGTTTACAATTTCAACTTAGTTGATAAAACCAAATGGCCTTGTTACCCCCACCGACGCAGCACACAGTTTCTTTAGAAACTTACTCCTTTATTCTTTTGTTGTAAAGCCTGTTGTTGTTTGGGAAATGTGAATTACAGTAGTCATCAAAGAATTTTTTTTTAGGTGTCTTAATCAGAAGGAAACACGTTTCTTACGAGGTTTTTCCTATTTAAGGTTCGATTACCACCCGAAGTAAACAGAATCCTTTATGTCAGGTAAGAGGATAATTTATGGACAATTTACTAAATGTGATCTATCAGGAATCCATGTAGACTTGCTAACTTGAATTGTAGCTATGAAGTGTTGGAAAGGAAATCTTTTAAGTTTAATTAAAGTAATTTCACAGTGTTGTGTCTAATTGCTTCATAAAATTCATCTGTCAACACAGGGAATGAGAATTCGTGGTGAGTTTGTGTCCCTTTGGCTTTGAGACCATAGATCATGGGCTGCTATTTTATATAAAACAAACAAAAAAACATCTTCACCTCTTTTCTTGCTATTGCCATAGGAATTTTTATGAAGTCAGGTAGAAAAGGTGATAACTTGTTACCGGTACCTTGTATATTTGTCATAGAAATCTTCCTTACAAGATAACAACAGAGGAGATGTATGATATATTTGGAAAATATGGAGGAATCAGACAGATCAGAGTGTAAGTAACTTATTACTTTCTGATCCAAGAAATGAGCTGTGTGCATCAATAGAAACTTGATTGGTCAGAGTATTGGACTGTCTGTTGGTTGAGGTGTCTTGTTTTGGTTGTACCGTTAATCATTTTTTGTCTTCCCTTTTTTTTTTTAAGTGGAAATACACCAGAGACAAGAGGAACAGCATTTGTTGTGTATGAGGATATTTTTGATGCTAAAAATGCTTGTGACCACTTATCAGGCTTCAATGTCTGCAACCGCTATCTAGTTGTTCTCTACTACCAGTCCACCAAGGTCAGTTCACCTTATTAAGAAAATAACAGTAATTACAATAATACTTCTGGAGATGAGTTTCTTTACTGCCCTTAAAAATACCAGTAGGTTATGTTCCAAAGCAAAACTACCCCAACATGTATAATTTATCTTTGAAATTATTTTACCTCATAGGCCTTCCAAAAACTAGACAAGGAAAAGAAGAAACAAGAGCTAGAAAAGATGAGAGAGAAATATGGAATCAGCAAAGACAAGTGATTGAAAAAGAGATTGACTTTTTCCTGTACGTTTGTAAACACGTAACACTTCTATTTAACCAAAGGGCAGAAGCTCAACATTGGCTCTATAGGCAAAACTTTGTAAGATACTACAGTGTGTTTGAAGGTTCATTTCAAAAGCAACACTATGCAGCTGCTAGTTAATTGCATTGAAGATGCAAATAGTGTGCCATCATTGGTGTGTGCAAGAATTTTTTTTTTTATGTTAAATTTTTCATCTTCTATATCTTGCAAAGGGTTCTTAAAAGTATTGTGAATGCCGTGTGCATTTTGATGAATCTGAACTTGTCAACCTTCTTAAGCTGGTGATGCACCCAGCAATTTTATTCACCAATCTTGATAGCTGGTGAAAATTAGGGATATCTAACATGCCAGATATAGGCAATTTTAAATGCCGATTGGGGTGATTGGCAAAAATCGCAATTGCTGCAGCTGGGTTTTTTTGGTGGTAGGTGCAATTGGAAAATAAAATCGCCAAATGTGTTGCCAGCTTAAGCAAACCTGGGCCTTGTATCTAGAGGGTTATTAGGTGATTGTTGAAGGCATTTGATGGACATCTTGAATTCATTGCACAACCTTTATGGCTTCTTATTTTAAGATGCAAAGGGAACTTTTGATCAATTTGCAATTTGACTATAGGGAGAAATCAAGGCAAGTTGTGACTGGGAATGACACATAATTACATTTTTGAATCAAGGGGGGTCATATGCTTATGCCTAGACTAGTATGATTCAATTGTCTTCTTAGCTACATCCCTACGTAATTGATCTCCTTGGTGCTGTTAAGGCACAAGAAGGGATTCTTCGCAAGTTTGTAAAAACAAGTTCTAGTATAGATATGTCAATAAAGGTGTTGACATTAGATGACACGGTAGTGGTGTGTATCTTATATTTAGGGAAAACCCTCTAATGTGAGATTATTTAATAATTCATGAACATCATTATTTGTTTTGAAAGTTTGGGATTTTCATGAAGTTTTAAGACCTTTCATTACCTCATAAGTGACTAACACAATCCTGCTTCATATTTTCATAATTTCATAATAAGCAATAAAAAGAGTGTCAAAAGGCATAAATTCATCTTTAAGTTAACTTTCCTTTACCTAATGACTGCATGAGATTGACTTTCAGTAACAACTCAGGCTTCTATCTTAACATCATACAAGGACAATAAGGTGCCATCATTGCTACGTAAAGTTCAGTGTTTCACGCTGTTTGAGCATCATATATTTTATTATAATAAAACCCTCCAAACTGTTGTCTTTAAGAGTTACAAAAATGAATTAAACTTAGTGAAAAAGCACCAAAAAAATGTGTAAATGCATCTAACAAGCAAGCAGCCTCACTGTCCTACTTCGTCTAATGCTAACACCAAGGAACAGTGGCACAGGAACAGAGGAGTGCAACTCACAGCCACAGTGATAGAAAACACACAGCCCTGAATTGTACTAGTTAATAAATATTGGGTTGACGATATATAAATTATACATATAGGTCTACTGAGTTACAATGCAACTATCATCATGCATTCAAATAAATAGTGATATTAAGTTCATAGAGAGTACAACGGATAATTTAACATGAGGTATATTAAACTCAATTTGATATTGTTATTTAGAACTAGTCAAAAAACAATCGGAAACTAAGAACCAATCAAAAAATATCAGGCTCCAGGTGTTTAAAGGGCGAAAAAGGCTGTTCAACGGACAAGTGTTAGTAAAACGCATTGCACTCTCCATCAACTAGAGATGTATCCAGTAGACAGCGTTATCCACCCTTCGAACAACCACCGGGGCCACGTAGACACGTGATTGCTGGTTATTGAACAATAATGTGTATGGGTAGATTAATGTGGTGCGCTTGGATTGAAAACAAACAATTTTTAAGTTATGACTGGATTTCTGGGTTGAAACAATTTAACTCCTTTCGGACCCCTCAGCCAAGATGGGGCAATTCTTCATCTTTGAAAGGAATGTTTGCGGTGCCGCCAGCTGATACATTCACTGAGCAACTACATCTTGCTCATTTAAAAGTTTGTGTCGGACAAAATAGGTGCATAGAATTAAAACGTTTGCCAGAAAAAAAAAAGAAAAAGAAAGAAAAAAAAACTAATAATAGTGTAAAGTCTTCTCTTTTTATCTCCGCGTGCGCTTGCTGGAACGGATTTCCTCAGTAGCAACAGAAGCACCTCGTCTTGTTCGTGGAGAACTCGTATTTGCCGAGGTGTTATTCGTTCCATTTACAACTGAATTGGACAAAGTTGGAGAAGCAGAAGCGGCCGCTGCAGCTCGTGCGCCTGCGCGACGAGAGGTAGCAGTCCGTGCTGGTGGTGTGCTGAGCTCTGTGAGTAACATGGTCGCAGGACTTGGAGGCATATTGTACTGTGTTGGTGTCATACCAAGGCGCTCTTCAATCAAGCGTAGTTGAGTTTCTGCCTCTCTACACTCGCGATGCTTAACTTTCATCTCCTCAGTTTGTCCGTGCTGTAGCTGTAACTATGTTACCAATATTAAAATTGTATTAGCGCTACCGCTAACGAAACAAATCGCACGAGGTAAATGCTCTTTTTACAACGTGAACCAAACTTACAGAAAGTTCCTCTTTGGCTTGAGCATGTTTCTGAACGGCTTGTTTAAATTGCTGTAGTTGTTCTGCAAGCAAACAAAGTATGCAAATAACAAATCTTATGAACGTGTTGGGTAGTGGACCTCTTTACACCTAAGAGATTAACAAATAACTCAACTGTGCAGTAATACTCACCGATTTGTGTTGTAAATGAATGAAAAGCAAGGGGAAGTGGTGCAGCAAACACCGCACCTCGCATTCTCTCCAATGGAGGAGCTTTATTCTGAAGGCCACCAAACTTCCCTAAACAAAGAAGGCAGTTTTTAATAAACTTTTCCTAACCTAATCTTGTTCTCAAGAGCTGCATTTGCCAACAGATCAGAGAACAGCTGTTCAACAGATGAAAACTTTCTAGTAACCTGACGTAATATGAAAAAGTCCTCTTGCTTTGCTTGAAGGTGTAAGCTAACACTTAGGGTTATAGGGTTAGGCTTAGGGTTAGTTCACTGCTTTAGTATATTCTGAACAGTAGCTGTAACTCACCGTTACTCCTGATGCGATCCCCACTCCTTGTCAGAATTGTTGGACAGTGAGTGTACTTCACAACCTTCCACGGAATGATAAAAAGTTATAGAAGAGTAAGAGTTAACTCAAAGTTTTACCACTGCTCACAGCTTTCATGCTATACTCACCTCTTGTCTGTATTTATTTGCACAGTCAAGATCATCAAGGATCAAGGTTTCGCCAAGCAACATACCAAAAACTAAAAAGTAAGAGAGTTACTTTAACTGAAGGCACCCTCATTCCACATAACTTAAGGATTCAGAGGTTTTACCCTTCGAGAAGTTTTCCTCAAAAGGCAAGCATTAGTTTATTCAATTATATTTCCTGTATTATTATATTTCTTATATTATTATACTTGGCTGTGTAGCCGCGCGATGCGGTTCCAGTCGAGGCCCAGAAATTGACCCTAGCTCACCATAGAGTCTCCAGTAGCTCAGTGGTTAGAGCATCCGACTAGATCACGGAGGGTCGTGGGTTCAAGTCCCATCTGGGGCTCGGATTTTTCTATTACATTAAAAAATTATATTTCTAACTTGAATTGATTGTCACTTGATTTTACAACGTTACTCGACGTCCTTGGTTTACCGAGTTTGCAGTTATCTCCTTCTGCAGGGAATAGCAGCATATCTCGAGCATACACTGGGTTCCCTGTGGGAGTGTAGTTACTCGAGCCTCGTACGTGTGGCAGTGGTCTGAAAGGAAACCAATGATCACGGAATAAGCAATGAAGATTAGTGATTGGTGAACAATAATCATATTTTAATGTTCAAGCTGTAGCTTACCTGTTCCATTCAGGCAAACTTCGTCTGAAAATGGAATCTAAGGGAAGAACCTGTTGCTGACCATTCGAGTCACGATACACTTGCTTGGCCTGAAATAGTCCACACAGTTAGACAGTAAAGGGATCATATCCCAGTCAACATACTGTACATTGCTGGAGCGCATTTTCGTTTGCTGTTTTCTGACAACTATGAAGTCAACTCTAAGAGTTACCTCTATTTCACTCGAAGCAACAAGTTTCTTACTCTACCCCCGCACAGGACGTGTTGGACATTGCTGATCTTTGCAATATGCATAAAGTCTGTCACACAATTTTGAACCTTGCCTATGATAACCAATTATCACTTGCGCAGTGGTAAAGCAACAAGTTTCTTACTCTACCCCCGCA